CAACATAGTTTATTACAAGGTAGTACAAATATATATATATATATATATATATAGTGCTCCTCACACTATTGTATTAATATATTTTGCCTTGTCTATATTGATACAATATCAGAAAGCACTCTTTTTTGCGGATATAATCGTGTGGGCTGCTGAAAAGATTACATCTTTTTTTCCGGTTTTTTTGAATAAAATTTAATCATTTTTTTTTAATCAGTTGTTTGTTATTTTTTTAAATTATTATCCCCCCTTTTTCTCATATGTCTATATTTTTCCTTTGTTTTATCTTCATTTTGAACTTATCTAATGAGTTCTGTTTACTTGCAGATTATGCGCAATAAATGAAACCTATTGTTTTTCTTAACTTTCTTCGTGTTTTCTTGTATATATATATATATATATATATATATATATACACTAAGATATGAAGTTCAATATCTTAAATTTGTGTTGTTATTGAAAAGAAAATTTGAGGAAAAAATCCATTAAATACACGTAGTGAAATTAAATACATAATAACTGGTGCATCTCGATAAATTCAACCGTTTAAATACGCAACCTTCAATATCATGCTCACTTTTAATAAGTTTGATGTTATTTACAATGAGTAAAATAATAAAAAAAATTTAAAAATAGTAATATAATAAATGACCAACTTCGCGCAAATAAAATTTTGATTTCTCACAATTTTTTTTCAAATGGGGAATTTTTTATTATTACTTGTTTTCAAAAGGTCGGAAATTGAAATGAAAGCGTGTTTTTAATTATTAATCATCAACCGATTGTAGCTGCTCACAATGGTGATTTTAGAGGCCGGGATAGCTTGGGTTGGTAGGACGTTGGTCTCATGCTCGTGAGAATGTGAGTTCGAATCTATCCGGCTGAAGAATCCCAGTGTATTAAAAGGTGATTGGTGCAAAGTCCTCCAAGTGGTGGGTTGCAAAGTCCTCCAAGTCTAAGTTATTATTACAAATCAATATCTCTGGGGGTTCTGAATTGGAGATTGTTCGTTCTCTGATTCAGGTCAAAATAATGCTCTGTGAATGAATGAATGGAGTTCAATTGGGTCCTCCCCATAAAAGGGACTGTGACTTGTGTGTGACTGAATTCGTGTGTGGCAAGTCATGGTTGAAGTAGCAAGTGGAACAAGAGAAAAAACCTATTTGTTTTTAGCATTAAGAACTTAGCTTTCTATCTGGTCAGCTTTATTAATTTAAAATTCTTTAATTATGATTACTCTAGTAATCTCTAATTTTTAATTTTAATTATATCAAAAATTAAGCACATAATTAGTCACCAAAATCATTGATTGGTCATAAATAATGATATGAGATTTCAATAATTTGATTTAGATAATGAAGTTGCAAAATCAAATATTTAGAAAATGTAAGAACTTAAAATGCACGAATAAAAAACAATTGGAATGGTCGTATATGCATATCCTGAAATTATAATTCAATTCGTTTCACTAACAATCAAATTATATTTGGTAGGGAAAACTGACCCATAAATGAACCCCTAAGAGCAGGTTGTCTTCAAAAAATTTATGATATTTTCAAATACAATAGTTTTAGGTGAATGATAATGTCAACATACTTGTTATCAAATGCAGATCAGGGAGTAGCAGGGAGGAGAATAGAGTGGAGTAAAATTTTTTTTATCATTTGGTGGTTCAATTAATGTAGTAAGATAATCAACTGAATGAACAGTTCTTACCAGTGAATTTACTCAAATATTTCCAGATAATGAACACTTAATTTTGCAACTTTTTAGACATGCATTTATAAGCCTATTAAATACCTGAAAACTATATTTTTCTGAGGAATATACCATGTATTTGTAATTTTACATCTTTTTTCTCAGACAAAAAATCGAAAGTATTGCGGCATTGTATACAAAATAAAAAGATTTTTCACTTCTTTTTTACACTTTGTTAATCGAGTCTGAATTATAAATATTTATCGATATGTTATCTGATGATATGTTTTTATTATTCTTACAATTATTTTACCCCTTTCTTCTTTACTCTTTTTTCCTTGGGTCTTAAATTCTTTTTTTAATTTTTTAAGTTTTTTTCTCATCACCATAATCCTTTTAAAGCTTTCGCCTCAGCCTTTCTAAAGTTACTGCAAAAGTGTAATTTTTTCTCTTTTTTCTAATTTGATTCTGATCTAATTTAAATTTTTTTTTAGTTTTCCTGTAACATTTCTAGATTCCGTCAATGAAAAATAGAGAGGGAAGAGGAATATCTATCTCTTGTGAACCTATATCTAGTGGGTCCTCAGCAGTATACTTTAATTATTTTTGGAATCATTTGTTTCTTCAACTAATTTCATTCATCATTTGCTTCACCAAGAGGACTCACTTTAAAATTCATATCCAAGATTCATTCAGTATCAATGTTACTTGCTTCAGTGAAAACATTTTGGTTTAATCAAAATAAGCTTTTCAATACGTGCTTTTTCATATTAAAAAAAATACTTACTCTAGATGGTTTCGGATGTTAGACTTTCAGTCAATGTGGCACTAAATATTAACAATATATCTAGATGTATTTAATTTTCGAATGTCTGATAAAATTATGTAGACCATTTTTCTGACTTTTTGAATGCTGAAATCATCACGCCATTGCTCCGTGTTATCAATGGATGTCATTTTCAAAAAAAAAAAAAAAGTGCTTGATCCTTTTTTCACCTGAGCAGTGAATATATTATTTCCTTTCATGTTATCTATTTTCGCTATAACTTTAAACGCGGCAATTTTAACATCATCCTTTCGCTGAAAAAATATGTGTAAATTTAGAGAAATAAGCTGTAAACTGGTGTGCCAATATGAACTTTTTATTTCACAAAGAAATATAGTTATTTAAAAACAAATGACTTATTTTTCAGCAGATAAATTTCTGTTACTTTCAAAAACAAACTCTGTTATTTTAACAAAATAAACCCCTTATAATCTGAAGCATTACTGTCAGCATTTTAGTCACGATCAGCAAGTCATCATTTGAATTTGCTTGCACAGTGAACGCCAGGATTTTAACCCATGTCACCTCATTCTGAGGGAGCACTGCGTCTCTTCAGCAATGACAGTTCTATAGTTTGATTATGACGAAAAATCATAAACTGTAGTTATCTTAAAAGTCTTACTTATTGAAATAATTTTTAAGTGTAAAAACGTGCAAAGCTATATTGGCTAAAAATGATTTAAAACTTCTGGCAATTAACTACCAAAACATTATACCTAAAGACAGATAATAATCAGGTAGAGTATAAGTTTTGCAATGAAGTTGATACAATGTTCAAAATTTTCTAAAAAGTACGAGCAAGTACCGAAAATAATCATAAAATGATTTAAAAAAATAAGACGGTAATGTTACGGTAAGTAAAACTGCATGACAAAAGCAAGAATGTGAATTGACAACAGTTTTAATCCCTTTATGTTTCTGGTGAGAAACAGAGGAAAACTATAATGTGAAAAACAGATTGAAACTGAGAAATGAACGAGAAAAAATATGTAAAAAAGAAAGAAGAAAATCTGGGATTTTTTGCAGCTCGTTTTTAATAATTAAAAACTGAAAAAAACTCTGCATTTATCTTTAAATAGCTTCTTTTCCTGTAATTTTTTTTCTGCAGAAGTTTCAGTAATGTTTTTACTGTGTATGCATAATAAATCTAATTTTGGCCTAATATTTCAAAAGTTTCAAATTTCTTTGTGCCATAGTGTCTGGAGATTCTTCTAGTAACTTTATTATGAAACGTTTAGTTTATGCTGCATACTAGAAAAAAAGACATTATTCAATTTAATGTCTGCTATATTTTCATTTATTCCTGCTAATTTCCTCTCTGTTTTAATTATTTGATAAATTTACGATAAACGAAGAAAGAAAGTCTTACATAATTTATTTTAAAACTTTCTTTCTCGAATTTCCCTCTATAATTCTATAACAGTTAGCAATTGCGACATTTTATGGAGAAAAAAAACGATTAAATAAATTTTAAAAAGAAATATAATAAAATTTTAAGGAAATTTTGTGTAGCTTAAATTGCAAGTAATAATTTATATAACACTTATTTTTATGCTAACAAGTTACCGAAATACTAACCACAAGACTTAACAAAGCTTAAGAGAGATCACTGTATGCAATATTTATTATCTTGAAAGCCTATTGCCTTAAATTGAAGAAAATCTGTTTATTTTTACTCAATTGGTATGAAGATTATAATTTACAAATAAATGCTTTGAAAATACTAATACTAGAATTTTCCTAATAATCGTCATTATATATTTTTAGAAGCCTGGTCCAGAAGAAAGTTTTAAAAAAAGTATGGCTGGTGAAGATATATATATATATATTNTATATATAATATATAATACATCTAAAATAAAAATAGTTCTTTTAATTCTCATAGATTTAAATAATTAACTTCTAATTTGATTTATATGAAATTGATTTAAATTATCTTTTCTTCTTTTTGTACTCATTTAATATCGATGGTAATTTACTGCGCTTTTTATCGCCTTAAAAATATTGTCCTTCGTATAAAATGTCTTTCTTTCTTTAATTTGATATACGTAAAATTAAAATTTATTTTTACATTTCTTTCGTTAATTTTTTTTACATTTCATCGTCATCAGCAGATGCTATAGAGTTAGTATCACTAATGTTTTAAAAATAAATTAAAAAGGAATTTTTATTTTAGGCTAAAGCAAATTCTTATTACTATGTATTTTGAAATTATTTTATTATTTAAAAATGAAAATATTACTTTCACAAATAAAACTTTATATAAAAGATCAAACAAACATTGGATTGTTCAATCCCCAATCTCTAATTAAGGAAAAAGTCCAATATTAATTACATTGGAGTATGAAAATAATAAATTTGAAGTAAATTAAGAAGTGTAAAAATAATAACATAACTCGAAAATATTAAGAAAAAATATACTGATCCAGATCAATATTGAAACGTAATTTATTCACTTACAATCACTTTAATGCTTGTATACATAGACAGAATGTAATAATTTTTATTCAAAATTTTAAAATTTAAATATATTATACTTATTATACATATCACAGCATTCATTTAATAAATACAAAATATTTACTCAAAAATATGATGGATAGTTTGTTTGTTTCTAAGATTGTGCATTCAGTTCAAACTGATTTTTAATATACAGTAATTTAAAATGAAAAATGCCTCAATATTTACAGTTTTGAAATAATTTTCTATATTTTAATAAGATACTAAATTTCTTGATATAATCAGCCTCATCTGAATTAAAATCTATAATATAACTAAATTACTTTTTTTACAAACATAATTTACTATTTGATAAAAATATTAAATTTTCACACAGTTTAAAATAAAAATACTGTAATTTGTTTTACAAATTAGTAAATGATGGTGAGTATTGGAAAAAAACCAACATTTTTATTACATATTCATTATTATATTCATTATTAAAGATTTTCTGGTGCTATTACTTTAACTATATCACATTTTTCAGTTGATTGTAAAAACCACAACAAGATTTAAAAAGATTACAAACAAATAAAAGTTTGGAGTCTATTCACAAAATAATAATTGTTTTTCCAAACACAGGTTCTTCCTTCTCAAAACTTGAAACTATGCACATTCCTTGCTTGTAAACTGTTCTTGAAACTAGTATTTTTCAAGTGGGAAAAAACTGTTTATAACCCTCTGGAATTCAGATAATTTCGGCAGAATAAATATTTTTATCAATAGGTTCGGCACTGGTTATAACAATATCTCCTAAGTCTTTTTCTTGACTAAAAGCATTGAAGTTGTTGGTGCCTTTGTGCTAAGGAAAAAAGATTAAAAATAATATAATTTATGCTGATAAAAAGTTCAGAAGAAACAAAATTTGAATCCTTTCTTTTTCAAAAAACATAGAAAGAACAATCAGAGCAAGTAATATTTTAATTACTATTTTCAAAGAACAATATTAAAAAAATCTGAGAAATTGTAGTCCTCATTTAAAAAAAATGTTAAAACATTTCACTACCTAAAAAAAAATTTAGAGACCAACTATTAATATTTTTTATCTTAAGCCTCCTTTCACAAACAAAAATCCCGGAAAGTAAGGAAGGATATTTTTTAAAATACTATTATTATTATTGTTAAAATGCTCTAAAGCACCCAAATCCACAGAGCGTCCCCGTAAAAAATTTGCTGAAGGAACTGTTAACTGTTAAAATAATAAATGAAGAAATTGATCATTACTTGGACAGATCAAAGAGTTCGTGGAATCTGGCTGCTGATAAACACACAAGCAGTATTCATGTGGATGTTATTCCACATGAATATTGCAAACTCCACATGTATACAGTTTGTGAGGATTGTCTTTTTAACTAAAGATCTTTTTCATAGAAGCAGATATATTTCAGAATAAAAAAAATACTTTAATAATTAAAATGAAACTTTTCAAAAAAATTATTTTTTTAAAAAACAATGGCTGTAAATATTATAAAGAATACATATGACATTTTTGATGATCAATGAAAACGTTCGATTTCCTGCCTATGTTGCCTTTTCCCTCCCTCACAAAATACAAATGTGGGATAAATTAAGTCTACAAAAAAAATCATATAAAAATAAGTATCTAAAGCAAAGTATCTATGAGCGTCAAAGTATTTTTTATTTATATTTAATAAAAAAAATATATTTATTAACTTTTTTAATACGATATTTTGTTTTATTTAAAATGTTTTTGCTTAGTCAAAAAATATTAATAATGAAATCTATTTTTCAAAAAAATTATAAAAAGAAATCAGCTTATTTCTAAATGTTCTAAAACAAATCTTGTTCTTGCCGGTGTTTTGTTAAAAATCTCAGTGAAATTTTCTTGGAGAATAAAAAGAAAATATCATTTTGGTTACTTTAACGCCAATATTACCCACTTTATTTTTCTCCTACCTCGTGCGCCCAACGAACTTAAAGAGAAACCAAGTTTCCATGACAACGTCTACCGCTAATTTGAGGTGAATAATTCGTATTGAAAATTTTACAACAAAAGCATTTTAGAATGTATAGACCAAAATTCGTGTAATTATGTGACATTACAAACGAAAATGAGTAAAATAGAACATGAAAATCAAAACAGAAGCATAGATATTGATAAAAAATTATTAATCTTAATGAAAAATACATACGATTTTTTTTTTGATCGGTAGAATTAAATTAAAATCTGGAACCTAGAAAATCTTCACCGGCAGTAAATTTGGCATAAGAACTATGTTGCTTAAGATTGCCGTATTTACCGTTTATTTGTCACTGGTATGGCATTTTCTGAGTGCATAAAATGGATATCTCTCCTTATTTACAGAGAAAGAGCTTATATAGATTTTAAAATATTGAATTATTCATACAACGAATATAGTTTCAGATTTGAAGCTAACACTTTCAGAATAGAGAACAAAATTTTTAAAGTTGATATGAAAGAAATGAACTTAATGCAAATAAATAAGAAAAGTTGCAAATAAATAAGAAATGCAAAAGAAATAGACAAAGACAACTTGCATGAGATGATAGCAAGCTTCTACAACAAAATCATTCATCTTGTCAACAGGTACAAAATAAGTTATCGGTCATGGTTAAAGCTCGTGTCTGTCATAGTACGGAAGTTCGGTGCAATTGATTGCGTCATAAACGCATTTCTTGATCATATTTACCAACTTATGGGGCAATCTAACCAAAACAATTTTTCATTTTTCCAATTTATGGTGAAATTAGAAACTTTGCATCAAGTATTGGTTAAACATTTGCCGAGATTTTTTTACAGTGAAGACGTGTGACATATTTGTAAATATACATATATTTGGAATTATTGATTTTTTCATTTGTGCTGAAAAAGTATAAACAAAAGTGACTCTAGTTATTCATATGAGAGTCATAGAGGTATGGTAAAGCTAAGTGACCGAAGCTATTTTTTGATTGGACAATCTCAGTTCTGAATTTTATTCTTCATCTATTTTAGCATGATTTATTCAGATCTCTTAAGATTACAACTAGTAAGATTACATCACACTCATAAAGAGCTTATTTCTGCGAAACATTGCATAGAAATTTTCAGTTTAATTGAGCATAACTTTTTAACAAAATCTAAATACACTTATGTAAGTTTTCAAAACATTTTAACAAATTTTTAGTTACGATTTAATTTCTCATAAACTAGCTGAAAACCCTTTCTTCGTGAGGGGTAAAAAATATTAAAAATCAATAAAGAGTTAATAATAAACACTAGGAAACACACAGAGCTAAAAGGCATATACCGACAGAATTAAAATCATTCAAAATAATTCATTTTTTACTTATTTATAGATGTCTTGTTCAATTCCTGTTTGGCTTTGCATCATTAGATTACGCAACACACGTATTTAGAAGCTCTATCTTCGTTGACACGTCAACCCAGGATGGGCTCTGGCCTTCTTCGTGACCAAATATCGTGTATCTTTCGCTTTGTTTTTCATCCAGTTATTTTTTATTTTTAGATAATCGTTGAAGCAGTCCAACATAATAAGTTCAGCTGCTCTGTTTTTTGTGCGTCGGTTGATTTGGCTATAGATACTTTTTTGGTGTTGCTATCGTTTGTGTTGCCAGTTATAGTTAGTCATGATAACCTATGGGTGTTAATTAATTAAAATATGCCAGATTTTTGGAATTACAGAATTTAAAAATAGAATTGTAAAATTCTATTTTTAAATTCTTTATAATTCCTTATATTTTCCGAATTATTTTGATGCACTTACGTTCAAAAAATTTCTTTTTCATTCTTCTCACAAAAGTTGACAGGAATTTTTATCTTTTCTTGTCAATGCCAAGATTCATATGTCATAAATTTAATTAAGCGTTCGTAAATTGCTATCAAGGATTTTGTTGGGAGGAAATTTAACCTTAAACTTTTCTTTAAGCCAAAGTGACCTTAATGGCCCAATAATTTTGTTATGGATTTTAGCTGTTATATTGTCGCGGTGTGTCAGAGGACTAAGAGCTTGCCTCCGAATGAGGTGAACACTTTCGAATCCCAACGGTAGCTGGATTATACCGATTCTGCTCTCAGCTCACTCTGAACACAGTGCTGACGTAAAATATGAACAATAAATAGTAGACGGTTCATGACTTGAAATCTCATTGCCGCGAGCTAACAGTGGGAAGTTTTACGGTTTGGTTCCCAAAGTCGTACTTCTTCTTCTCGTGTCATAGGAGCGCTATCTACGTATGTGTTATTATGTTTTAATATTTGGTAAGAGAGCGACTAGAGTTTGGGACATATACTGAAACAGTGACAGCAGTTTTGTTAACCAGCGATACCAAGTAGGAGACTGCAAACTCCTATTATAAATAGATATTGCACCCACATTAATTAACATTAAAAAAATATTTAACCTCGGAATCTACGTCTTAATTGTGACTGGTGTTTCGAAACGTTAGTAAAGCAATCGATTTTCGAAGAATTACTGCTCTTAAATTCTTCTCCAATGTAAAGAACTATTCTTTTTAAGTCAAATATAAAGATAAAACAGAATTTTACGCAGTTTCATTAAAATGTTAAAAAAGAAATCTTTTTCATCAAATTCTTGGAAGGAATAAAAAACATTCTCTGATTTAATTGAGCAAAGTATTTTTAGTCTAGATTTCCTTTGAATAATTAGAAAAAGTATTCCTTTCTTAGTGAGTGAAAAACAAGACTTATAAAAAAATAACTAACTTAACATTATTTTAATTATTTTTGATAAATATTAAATTGATTGATTTATAAAAAATTATTTAGAGTTCAAGTATTTACAATAAAGTTTATCGCATGAAACTTCTTGATAGATTGAAATCAGAAATAATGAGATATGGAACCAAAGTATGTGTATAACAATCATAACTTAATAATGAAATCAAAAAGAATTTGTGTGTGTGTTTTTTTTAAAAAAAAAAAAACTGCGCTTCGCATGTGTCATGTTTCTCATCTGAATTCTTTCGCAGCGTCTCTTAATAAATAACATAAAAAAATTTAATTAATTAAAAATTGAAGCTAACTTTCTCAAAGTGTAGGAACTTAAAAACAGGTTGAAAAGTAAAACGAAATTATATCTTCTGAAACAACTTCATCCTTTCATTTATTAATTTTTATTAACTCTAATCTCAATTACATGCTCGTATAAAAAGGGTTCAATGAAAAAACAATGAAAAACCGTTTTTTTTTTTTTTCGCGAAATTAATCTTTCCTAACGTAGCATATGGAAAATAAATAAATATTATAGAAATTGCAATAAAATATTTATCATTTTTTTTTTATTAAATAGAGTTGTAAGCTAGCATAGTATAGGGGCAGTAATCGTCACTGGTATTTTATTATGAAAATTCAAAAACTACATTTGCTAAAGATTATAACAATAGCTAAGGTGAAAAGATTGAAAAAGTCTCATTTTTAAAATGTTTCTCCCAAACAATCTAAATTGTAAATTTCGGCAATAATAAAAGAGCTGTGGTGGCTTGGGGGACATCGCGCTCAGCTCCAATGAGGTGACCCAGACACGAATTCCAGTTCCAACTGGTCGATACGTGTTCCGCAACAGGATCGCACCGACCACAGTGCTGACGTAAAATATCCTTAGTGGTAGACGAATCATGGCTTACCATCGGGATAACCGTGGTAGATTTCCTTTGTTTTCCTCATCATATAACGCGAATGCGGGTTAGTTCCATCAAAAAGTCCTATAGGATAGGTAGTTTGTCCCAAGAGTTCCCTTGTCTTCGTGGTTGGGTTTAAAATTACAAAGTTATGTAGTTAAACATTAATGGTCGTAAACT